TGTGCCGCCAGCTTGGCTTCCCCCACGTGGTGCGAGCCACCAAGAAGGCAGAATTTGGGGAAGGCACTTCCCTCCGCATTCTCCTGGACGATGTCCAGTGCTCCGGGCAGGAGAGGACACTGCTGGAGTGCGCCCATGCTGATGTTGGTGTGCACAACTGCTCCCACGAGGAGGATGCTGGTGTGGAGTGCAGTCGTGAGGAGGTGGCAGAGTGGTGACAGAGGATCTGGGGAAGGTAGCTGAGGGACTTGGAGCACACTCTTTTCTTGCCTAACCCTCTAAACCAGCTAATATCGAGAAGGGTGTGCCCTGCCTTGAGGATGCTGCATCTGTTTAAAGTACTCCCGTGGTTTTCTTCGTGTTTATTCCCTTGCATCTGCCTCGGAGTGAAAGAAAATGTCAAACAAAGCAGTGACTCGAGTATGTTCTGGGCAGGGACTGCATTTCTATGTTTGGGGTTTTTTTTAACAAAAAGAAAACCCCAAACATCAGCCTTTATAGATTAGAAAAGAGATGCATCCTGTTGCCCTTTCCCCTTTCAAAACACAACATTCCTCAGCTGTGCTTCACAATGTTTTGCTAAAAAATAAATTCCCAGATGACCACGTTTAGTTGCTCTTATGGAAGTATTTGTGTTGTTTGCCTTGCTTTGCCACCTGCAGCTGTGAGTGGTGGTTTCTAAGTGTGTGTAAAGCTGTGCCTTTCTTTGCAAAACACAAAAATATCTATTTTTTAAACTTTCCATGAACTAGTTTAAAGGAAAACGTTTTTTCTGTAATGGTTTTTATTGGGATAAACCCATTGGTTATGAAGGATAAATATGTCTGAACAAAATCAGATAATTTAGAAGTCATAGTGTACTGCCTGGAAAATGTTTCTGCAGTTCACACTAGCCTAAATAAAAGAAAATCTAACCCTGTTCACATGAGCAGAATCATTATCCATTTAACCCCAAAGATGCTTTGCACATGTTTCTCCACTTTCCCAAACTTTATGAAGCCACATATTTTTATATTCAGTTTTCACAGGGGTGAATGACTAGACAAGAAGTAATGTACTGAGGTAGAAATCTTGTCATGTTGACCACTTTTTAGAGGATATTAAAAAAACCAAACAAAACCAACCAACCCAACAAAACCAGCAAAACAAAACAAGCATAAAACCCCCCTATTTTGTCTGAAATGTGTTTTTCACCTGAGTGGTGATTGGAGACACATGTTCCCCTCTTGTGGTCTCTCTCTGCATTTGAAAGCATTTTGCCTGGTTATTTTTTCCCCCTGACATAATCAGGACAGGTTTTATCTTACTGTTCACATAAGAAGATGAGAAAGACCAAAATAAAAAACCCCAAATCCCCAAGTGTAAAATGATTAACGTGTCCAGAAAACTCCACAAGCAAATTGTTGTATCTAAAGCTCTTACTGTGGATGTTTATTTTAATTCCCCACTTTCAAGTTGACAATGTCCTCTTAATCCTAAAATATTGATGTATAGGGTCAATTAATTTGTTTTAAATACTTTCCCTGAACATTCTAATAAGCCCATTCAATACTTTTCGATATGAAAGAACAGCTTCAATATTCCAAAACAGATGATCTGAAAAAAAAAAAAAAAAAGCATTTCTCCCCCGTTCTTATGAAGTATAAAAGGGGAACAGATGTATAAAGTGCCTTTTGAAAAGGACTACTCTCATTTCTTTGGAAACCCTATAAATGCCATCAGGCACCAGACTATCATTAGGCTTTTCCCATTGCAGTGAAGTTGCAAACTCATTTGTTTAAAGTGCAGAAATTCGCTTCGGGCACATCAAAACGTTCAGGGAACAAGAGAGTCCTTTGTAAATTCCTCTGTTAAAAGAGTTGGCACCTGTTGAACTGATGGGACTAGAGGGCTGGAAGAAAACGGAAAGCGGAGATAGAATCTTTCCTCTTCCAAATTCCTCTTCCGCTTCTTTTGGCTCCTTAACCAAATTTCAGTTCGCTCTAGCTGGGAGATTTTAAGGAGAATCTGGGTCATAGCTGTGCTCTGATAGAAAAAAAGACCTGCACAACAAAAGTTCCTCTAAGGAAACTGAGGTGATTCAGTGGAATTTCACCATCATTTTCTAGGTGCTTACATTCTCTTTTTCTAATTTAACTATTAGTTATCCTACACCTGTTCTAGCCCATTTGAACCTCCTGAGCATAAGCAGAGGGCACCTACATCTTGCATATTGCTGGTGATGACTGCCACTAAGCTCTGGCTGACAGACAGGCAGTGTCAGAGTCTCTGGCAGCAGCCAAAGGCAACAAAAACCAGTCCACAAGGAGCAGCCACTGGTGAGAGTGAGTTGTGCATTGGCCCTGCTGACAGCAAACACAGAGCTCTACACCCTCAGTGTTTGCTGACGAAGTGTTTGCTGATGAGGTGTTTGCTGATGTTATGTGGGTGCAGTCAGCTTCACAGGGGAAATATTTATCAGCAGAGAAAGAGACAAGACTTGCAAATAAGTTTATTTTTTCCCCCTCTTATATTTTCTCCCAGCCTACACTGAGTGGGGAAGGCATTCAAATAGGAACGTGCCAGCTCAGTACATGTGGATGTGTGTGCATGTCTGTGCCTGCCAGCTCAGTATGCTGCTGTGATGCTGGGAAAGTATTTCAGACCATCATGGTCCCTTCCAGGTTTAAACTATATCTGTTCTAAATCCTGGTATTTGTCGGTCTAGTTCCTAAGTATTTAAATAATGAGCCTGTACTATTCAAAGAGCAGAAGTACATGTGTATTTAAATACCTGCTATCTCATCTGTTGTTTCATGGAATTCTTACTGATAGCTCTTTTCTTCACTTTAAAATGCACTTATATAGCAGGATGTCACACAAATTAAGCTTTAGATAAACTAATAAGCCCTGCTGCTACATTTGGGCATAACAATATCCTTCCTGGGTGCTGATTCAGAACAAAGGTCTTATAAAAGCCCAGAATAACACTGGTTACCACAGTGCAAACAGCCTTCTGCATGTGTTATGTGGCAGTCCCAAACTTTTGTCTGGTAGCAATATGGTTTATAGCATTCTCTCCTGAGTCAACTGTGACTGCCACTGGAGCATCTTCATTTTTCTTTACACATCTTTCCATTCCTTATGTTAGCACAGCTGAACCACATGGAGGACCCAGCATATCTGTAAGGGAAGAGTGTAGACTCAGCCATTCTACCTCTTTTTCTCTACCTCCAAGGCAGAGTAGCTCAGGGACTTTTCACTTACATTGCTTCTGGAAACCAGCAGCCAGCCCAAATACCCCTGCATTGTGTGGCAGTCTGTGGTATAGACATTATCTTCAGGCAGAAATCATTTGAACTTAGCATGTTATTTTCAAGACATCCAACAGACAAACCTTCCCACACATATCTGGGAAAAATCTTTAGAGCTTGCTGCCAAAGCAGTGGAGAGACAGTGAAATAGGTAGGGTGTTGTAGCAGGGATGCTTACTGAAATGCTGGCAAAACCCTTCTAGGCGCTGGATGGAAAACAGTGTGAGGATAACCTCCATGTCAGGGGAATTTGGGTCCTGCCTAGCTTCTCTGTGTCAGGGTATGAACAGCTTGAGGCACATATACCACATTACAAAGCACAGCAATCTGTAATTAAATAGTGCCAAAGCCACGACTCAAGTTCAGAAAGCTCAGCAGTGGCACTGTGGGTGACTCTGGCACTGGATCCAAAGATGAGCCTGGGGCTCCAACTTCATCTGTTTCTCTTGCCTTCATCTCCCTGCCCAGCCTCTCCCCCACCTCTCACCAGTCAGATCCTTGTGTAGGGCCTCGTGATGGCCAAGGGACAACAGCAGCTCATGTACTACTGTCCTTCCCCACAGCCCAGAGCGTGCAAAATACTCGTGGGGAGGCACCCAGCACAGGCTGCCTCTTCTTTCAGCTGTTAGCACTGGTATAGTATGGAGGGTCCCTCCAGCACAAATCCATCCTCCTGTACTTGAGCTCAGCTTGTCACTGTTTGGTTGTGATCAATATAGAAATTCAGAAGTGCAGAGGAGAAAAACAGTCACAACATATCAATATCCAAGTCTGCTTTTCCTCTCAGAAACATGCCAATAGAACTATTGAAAAGGTCAGCTTAAGCATGTGAGACGCTCTGGCCCCCTTAGACACTTTCAGACATAAACACACATTTTTCAATATGAAAAGAGTTGTAAGCATCTTTTGGTAACTACTAACTGCATTCCAAATTTAAGCTGGAAGAATTCATAGGGCTTTTTTTCATCTGTAAACAAACGAGACTTCAAATCCATTTGATGTGTGTCCATACCTTGACTTTCCCAAGGTTTTCATGCCTGGGCCACAGGTGCAGCTACAGAGCTGCCTTGAGCAATGTTTCAGTGTTGTCAGAACAGCAGCTATGATGGAAACAGCAATCATTCCTTTACAAGAATGTGGTAAATAGGGATGATATTTTTAAGGAAAAAAAAAGCCTGTAGTGTTCAGCCAGTTGTAAGCACTGACATCAAGTAGTTTGTTCCTCAGGGGCGTTAGCTGTTGGCAACGACTGAATCCGTGGAGTGTTTTTGTTATTATTAATGTCTTGCCAATTACTTGTCCGCTCCATGCTGGAAAGTTTTATTGACTGAGAAGGATCTGGGCCTCAGTATATATAAGCTGGGTGACAACCAGCTCAGGGTGAAGATCACTGATCTTACTTTACTTTAAGTAAGTTTATCTGTCTCACTACTTTTCACATTGGCTGTCATAGTAATAGTGAAAAAAACCAGAGAGATCAGATATGATTATTCTATCAGGTATTATTACCTGGCTGTCATAAGAACAAGGTGAGTTTGGGAGGTGCACTTCACTGGATATTTTCAATCTGCATCCGTGGCAGAGCTGCTAGGGCTAGGCAGAAGGACTGAAATCCCTAAGCAGCAGTTGGTCCCTGGATTCCAACTGGACAGTGTTTCCATCTAGAAAAGTAGGAGATGCCTGGTAAAACCATCCCTGAAGGTTGCATTTCTGCTGGAGATGGCTGAAACACACTGTTCAAACTAGCCCCAGACCCCCATTAGTTCCATATGGATCTGTAGGCAGTGGGTGAGCCCTTAGTCCTCTGGGAGAGGTAAGAATTTTATCACCATCTGCACTCAGCCAGTAGCACAGAACAGATGGAGGCATTTAATAATAAAATTAAAAGCTCTTTATTTATAAATTCATCACACTGGTAAATTCAG